CCCCCGGGGCTCCTTATGTTGAAAACCTACAGAAACTGGCAATGTTGATGTTTAGACTTTTATGTGGTATGGCTTTTATGATTCTGCAAAGTGAAATTATATCCCAGGACACTGCCGAGGCAGCTGGGGTGTCAGCACTTGCTGAGTGGAGAGCCAAGATCCAAATACCACCTCCTCCCGCTAAGCCACGCCTGGTGCTTACACATACACTCAGACTACTGAAAAGTCCTGTCGGGGTGAGCAGTGCTGATAACCACCCAGGTCCACGCCCGAACAGGGGTTCTAAATGCTGGTAAGCTAGGGTTCTGAGGTACTACAGGAAGCTCACCCTGAAAACGGAATTGATACTAAAATTCATTTAAAAGGATCTGGAAAAACTCATGAACACAGAAGGAATGGAAAATAAAGGACAAATTATAAAAATGTTCAAAAGCCTGGTGGTGGGCAGCAACTGGTCCTTAAAGGGGGGAAAAGATTTACACAGGGAAAAAAATGCCCCCTCGCCCCCCAAACGGAGATTAAAGAAGACCCAATGAGCAGGACAAAGCAACAAAGAGTCCCTGCCCATCCGTCTGCAGAGCTACTGCTCTGGAGCAGCTGGGGACCCTGTTCTCCTTTCTCCCCAAACAAAGCTTCCCTTCCCGCCAAAAGCTGATGTCACACCACATGCATCTGAGAAGTGGGGGGGGGGGGGCACCCTGGGTGTGGGCGGGAAGGGAGTCGGGGTGGAGGAGACACTCCCCGCCACTCTTTACAAAGGCTGGGGCTTGGCTGGAAGAGCTATAAGGATGCAGACACACAGCCCAGCACAGACTAGAAGGCAAGGGGAGACAGTAACAAGAATCCACACACAAGCCCAGATATAGTGCCCCCTCGGTCACTAGCCGAGGGAAACACCACAAACCCATAATGCCCTCTGTCCACCTTTATGCACCTATAGCCTTCCTTCAAGACTCTCCTTACAAAGAGTGCACTGGGGAAGACTCCCCCAACCTACCTACCTACCTACCTACCAGGAGTTCTGACTGCCGCCTAGAGGTCCTTGCAGAATTCTGTTTGGGATATTTCTTGCCGGTGATGAGCGACTAGAGCCCATCAGAGAAGAAAAAGGAACAAAGGACAGAGAGAAAGCAAGCAACATCAGGGAAAAAAGCCAGAGTTGATGGCGTTCAGCAGAAACTGCAGACTGCTCAGGGAAGGGGAAAGAGAAGGAGGGGGAAGGGGGAGGGGACCAACACCAAAGGGTGCAGCTGCCCGCCCATGGGTGATCAGAGCTTGGGGAAAGTCACCTTCCTCCTGCTGTCCTCTGCCGCTGGCAGCCTTATGACCCGCCGGGCATCCTCCCCATCCCTTCGGGAAATTCCGGCCACTTCCTGCTCCATTTTCCACAACCGGCATCAGGTGCCCACCTCACTGAGTGCACAGTTATTGGGAGGAAGCAAACAAGACACACGCACACACAAGCACCTTGCAAACGCACACCTCTTCAGACACAGGCAGTAGACGCTGCGCTAACAGTAATGCGCCTGGAGTCACAGCCGAGAGTAAGAAGTCAAGCACTGCCAACCACTCAGCAGAAAGCAATGAGAGGTTTGAGGGGGGGATCCTCACACAGGACCCCGTCTCAGCACAACAGAAAGAACAGGGGCAGTAGCAACACACCCGCTAGCCCTACTCCCGATTTACGTTAGGATGCCAACCCGTGTGCCAGAGCATCCGCGGCCCATCCTTGTCGAAAGGCGCCTTACCACTTGCTGTGCGATGTTGACATTGGACTGTCCAAAGGTTTTTGGTAGGAGCTGCTTCCCAAGTGTATTGACTGCAGAAGGGTGAACCGCTACTAATGATACCACACCTGCAATGTAAAGAAACACAGAGGGTTATGGAGCAACACATTCCTTTTCTAAATTCAGGCGAACGGCAGCGGTTTCAGGAAGACAGTTCTTCTAAGTGATAACTCTCAAGCCCAAGAATGAAAAACCCGCCCCCACCTTCAGTGTTTGAGATCTTGGGGTTAAGTGCAAATCCCTCTGGCTGGGCTTACGTCTCAATTTTAAAGAAGGGGAGGCCGAGTGTGGGCAGGATTACAACTATGCTATTACTACCTGTGACTTTTGTCATACTACATACAGGTTGAAGAAATGTTGTAGATGTAATTAGGGTCCCTAATCAGTTGACTCTAAATTAATCAAAAGGCAGACTGCCCTTGGTGGACTGACTTTAATCAGGTGGACCCTTGGGAAAGACAAGGGATGGCACTAAGCATGTTCCTCAGGCTTTGAAAAGCATACTGCCACGTCATGGAGAGGGGCATCTGACAGAGAACCAGTTTGTAGAAGACACCATGGTCAACAGACCTAGCGTAGTCCACAAAGACAACATTCCACATCCTAAGAGTCTCGAGTTGATACCCGATTACGTAACTACCACTGACATGAAAAAATAGTGTATAAATAGTTGAATGGAAAACTGATGTACTCTGTAAGCCTTCTCCTAATTCACTGAGAGCCATCCCTATAGCTTAATAACCACTAAAGGCCAGCAACCAGCAAGAAAACGGGAACCCCCAGGACTGTAACCCATGCCACACACGTCTGTGCAGCACATGCTGTTGAATGGGCATCTACCTTGTGTCAACTGTAGCCTAAGACATCATCAAAAAGGGCTTCCCACAAGTTCACAGAAAAATCCTATTGCCTTCCATTTTCATTTTTCCACAAACTTTTTGAAGCCCCTTATTTAAAAAACAATTATAAGCAAAATATAGACATATGTATTTCTATATCCTAACATCACAGAGCTACAAAGAATGTTTTTTGAAAAATTCTGTATGCAACAGAATAAAGAAGACTGGGAGGCTTCCTACCCCCTCCCCAGGGCCCTGGTTTCTCCACAGCTCTAGAGAGGACAAGGGAAAGGGGGGTGGGGGGGGGCTTTGAAGATATCTAGGGAATCACTAAGACAGGGTGCGTGGAAGACTTGTGGGAAGTTACACAGGGCCCCGCATTCACACACAAATGCCCACAAGCTGAGACCCTGAGGAAAGGGCTGGCGGATAATAGAGCCCTTGAGAATCGAACTCTAGAACTAAACCAAGACTAGCTGCCCCTGGGCCGATTCTGACTCAACAAGACTTCAGGTGTGACCTACAGAACTCCTTTTCCGTGGCTCTTTTTTTCTTAGAAGTGGAACGCCACTGCCACCAGACCTTTTCTCCAAAGCGCCTCCGGGTGGACTTGAATGGCCAACCATTTGAGTAGCAGCTGAGCACATTAAAGTGTCTGCACCCTTGCCCCAGGCCCAGCCCACAGCCACTGAGCTGATTCTGACTCGCGGCGACCCTTTGGAGCAGAGTACAGCTGTGGGTTTCTGAGACTAACTCTTCACGGGAGCAGAAAGCCTCATCTTCCTCCCACAGGGCACCTGGTGGTTTCAAACTGCTGGTCTTGAGGTCAGCAGCCCAATGTGCAACCCGCTCTGCCACCAGGCCTCTGCTTGAACTTCGAGGCTGTCTATTCATTTAGCTAAACAAACATGTTCTTTAGGTCCAGGAATCAGGAGACGGTGGCTTTTAAAAACTCTTCAAGAGGCTTCTACTGCAGCCATATGTTAGAATTTTAAAGTGATGCTGAACAGTTTTTATACCAATGTTTTTCTCTAAGGTGCAAAACAGTTGGGAGATCTGTGGATGCTCTCACGTGAAGCAGGTCGTTGGCAAATCTGGGAGAGCAGAACTCGCACAGACATGCCTGTTTCCTCAAGAACAATCCAGTTTAATTTCTCACTATCACCTCTCGTTTCTTTCCACCGATGCAAAAGCGGCCACTCTCAGGAAACCGGCCATCTTTGTCTCTGTCCAGCATCCTCGGTGGCACACATTCTGATGCTTGCTTACGAAGCCGCAGAACTTCCTGGGCTACATTGTCAGGGGTGGGTCTCATTCTCAACGTGTCAGAAGACATCTCAGCACAAGAGGGCATCCTTGCCCCGGCTGCTCCTGACCCTTTCCTCTCCAGTCTTTTTCTCACCACACCTACAAACCCCTCTGCTCCCTCGAACACAGACTCGTGGCGTGCTGATTCTCGCTCACAGTGCCCCTGTGGCCGGGCAGAACTGCCCCCATTGGGTCTCCTAGGCCGCCAGGTCTGTGGTCTCCCTGGGAGAGGCTGGTGGGTTCGAACCAAGGACCTTTTGATTAGCAGCTGTGGGCTTTCCCACAGAACCACCAGAGTGAACAAAGACTGCCAACCATGGTGTGATGGGCCAGCCCTGACAAGGCATCAGGCATCGGCTGCTCTCAGCGGGGTTTGGTTTTATTTCCTTTTAGTGGGAGAGAGAGGAGGGGTCCCCACACAAAGGTTGAAACCAGGATCCAGTTTTGCCCTTTGTTTCCAGGTTTAGTATCATTCCCGCGCCCGCCCAGGGTAATCAAACGATAACCTCTGATTAGCCAGCTAGGCTTGCAAATACAAAACCGCTTTATTCAGGGGGCTGAGGGCTCTGTTTTTAACCATTTACAACCCGAGTGCCGTTTTCTCTACACGTCACTTCTTAAATGGGCTTTGTTGTCACAGCAATAGAGGGTAGTTTATCTTAATAGCCTAACTTGACCCAAGCAGAATTATGAAGTTAATTAGGAACATAAACCTTCTTTCTTCAGATGGCTAGATTATACTGATAGATTTTCCAACCAGCGAATGTTTACATTCATTTGAATTATTTCCTATAATGAAAAGGAGGGTATTGGCCAAAGGGAGGGGCGAGAATGGGGTGTTTTATCTATCTGGTTTGGGTGTTCACCCTGCTAAAATTTCAGATCTGTATCCTGACAACTAAAAATGTTGCTTTAGATACGGGAAAGGCATTTTTTAAAAACAAACTTTTTTTCTAGTTGACAGTAAAAAAAATTTTTTTTAATATGTGGCTAGACAATGATTCTGACTCACCCAAAGATGAGTAATTAGTAAGTTTCCAGGAATGCTGGAGATACACACACACACACACACACACACACAGTGTTTGTGTTTTGTTTCTTTTCAGTTTGCAAATGATTCCTTAATTTTCAGAGCCTGCCTCTGGAAAGGAAACGGATGCTGGCTTACAGTCAAGAGAGTTCAGATGAACTCCCTCCAGTGAACACTGCATTTCACAACTTATGTGAAGATCAGGCGCCGCATGGAAGTCAGAACACCTCCTCCTCAACAGAAACTACCCAGTGCACAGTGTAACAGAAACACCACGCTGGAAGGAGGGCGCCCCGTTCTCCTCCAGCTCAGCATGTTCGGAGTTCCACTGCGAGCCCGGGCTCTGGTCCCACAGATAGGAACAAGGGGCTCCGGGGCAGAGCTATGAGGCGCAAGTGGGCGTGGGGGCTGAGGCAGTCAGGGAGGAGCTGGGGGCCCGCACTCCTCATCGTGGCCCCTTTCTTCCCATCTGCCTGGCCCAGAAATCGGCCAGCTGGCCTGCCTGCCACCATCTGCTGCTGCACCCAGGGTCTCGCTCCCTCCTGGTCAATGGGGGCCTTTTCACTGCCCTCCGTGCCAACACAATAAAGCCCTGGGGTGATTCCTAAGGGTTTCTCCACCTCAGAATGACGGGGAGGAAACAAGCAGAGAAGGAAGGGTTCCCCTCCCCGTACTTGAGGAGGACGGACCCACCTCCACAGATGCTCTGGGCTGCCCTGAGCTGCCTCCCTACCCCACCAAGACCCCCATTTAGAGCCCAGGCCCGGCATCGGTCCCAGGACAAGAGTTTCCAGGCCTGCGCTGTCGGAGTTCCCCATTGGACTGCTAACTGCAAGGTCAGCTGCTAACTGAAACTACCTTTCTCCACTCCCAGGGAGAAAGGAGGGGCTTTCTACTCCAGTAGAGTTAGTCTCCAAAATTCACGCAGGCAGTTCTCTGTCCCATAGGCTCACCATGGGAGTTGGCACCTACTCCATGGCAGTGCCTTTGGATTTCTGAAGTGATAAGTGATGTGCTGGCCGCTGGGGATAAAGCAACAAGCAGTCCTAAACAGAAAAGACCCTGAAGGAGCTCTGGGAGCCTGTGCCAGAAACCAACAGAGCGCTTCGGGTCCTCACTCCCTCCCTGCGGCTCCGTAGCCCGGCCTGCTCACGGAGGTGGCTGTGGAGGGGCACTGGCACAAGGACACCAGGAAAAAGCCACATGTACAGTGAGGGGAAAGGAGACAGATATCCAAAAGGTGTCAGACCCCCCTCATCTCCGAGGTCCAGACTTAGAGGGGCCTGTTCGGATAAGTGGGGCAGGAGAGGCCAGAGCAAGGCTTCTTGCTCACACAGGCACAATCACTCTACTCCCTCCAGGCCTGCTACCGTCTTGGACCCAGAGGATGACAAACCCAGGAGCCTGGGAATGGTGCCATGAAGGGACCAGAATCCCTGGAACTTGGGGGGCTATCAGCATACTAGGTTGATGGGTATGGCGACTTTAGAGGCTTTCACGCAAGAAGCATGATGGTACTTGCTCTCAAACTCACTGTCCCCGAGTCCATTCGACTCATAGCAACCACTCTGATGGACCAGGTTAGAACTGCCCCTTTGAGTTTCCAAAAAGGTACCTCTTGGCGGGAGTCGGAAGCTCTTTCTCCTAAAGACCTGCTGGCCTTGAGGTTAGCAGCCCAATGTGTAACCACTAGGCCAACACGGCTCTGGTAGAAAGCACCTTATTCCAGTATACCTGTAATTGACTTGTACTATCTTCTCATGTTTGCTGTAACTTCCTTACAGAGAGGTAAGAACAGACAAGCAGTGGAGTAAATAAAAGTTACAGTCCCGGAGGTTCCTGGCTGTAACCCATCAACCCTGGCTTCCTAATCAGGCCCTGCCTACAACCA